AATTTTCTACAATTAAATATTTTATGACCAGAAAAAGAACAAAATATGCATTTTTGTTCGCCTTTAAAATTAGTACCAAGTAAAATAGTCTTTTCGTTCTTTTTTCTATTTTCTGCAGTGCTTATTTCAGGAAAATTTACTGCCTCTAAAGCCATTGCACGGTTTTCGAGATAATGCAAGAATTCGCTCAATGTAGGAAGTTTTGAACTGTCACGATCGATTTGAGATGCCCTATTGGTGAATTGATCGAGTTTTTTGCATAAAATACAAATTAGAATCATATCCCAGCTATCTACGGGTTGGCTTAAATTTTTTAAGGCACCAGTTTGTTGTTTTACCCTGCTCACAAATTCTCGTAAAGAAACAGACGTACATTTTGATATCGACGGAATATCCAAAAGGGAATAAATATGAGAATTTATGAGCATGGTTTCATTATTGTAGCGATTGTTTAAAAGTGTGAGAGCCTCTGGATACGATGAATTCATAAGTGGCAAATTATTTATTAGGCTTAATGCTTCGTCTCTCAAATAGAGCTTCAAATAACACAATTTTTCAACATCTGCCTTTGTTGATTTATCTACAACAGCAGAAAATAGCTCAATAAAAGGTTTGAAATTAGTTAATGTTTTACCATCAAAAAATGGAATGCTTAATGGTGGCAAATTGGATGATGAAACATTGCTATTTGTAACCAAAACATTTGTTGGCGTCGGCAATTTTGCAGAATTTTCAGACATTTTACCTGGCAAGATTTCATTCATGTATGCAATCGTATCAAAATATTCACTCTATATCGTCTAAGCCATCTGCATAATTTTTGTCAAGGAAAAGAATCTCGGACTGAAGGTCCTTAATTTTATCAAAAAGTTGAATAAGTGATTCTTTTCTTACCTGGAAACATTCAAATTTTCTATTTGAATCAGGATCATTACAGTGTTCCTGAACGTACCTGGCTAATCTTTGAATAGAGTCAATCGCTTGCTGTTTATTTGCCTTTAAACGTTCAATTTCTAATTGATTCGCTTTTGGAGCCATGTTTTTTGGTGATTTTTCCTACTTCTATTTTACACTAACAATAATAAAGAATTAAATTTAAACAATATACCTAAACTAAAATTGTTTTTGATAAAATCTGCCTTCAGAATATACACTTGCTATTGTCCATTAAAATTCAAAATTTTTGAAGAATATCCATGACAAATGAAAGCAGGTACCTATACTGTATGTTGTCTTGTCTCACAGTCTATTGTCTTTAAATAAAAATATTCCTGCTTGCGGTCTCGAACTTGATGTCAAAAAGTACCTATGATACCTATCTTGGTCTTGAAATTTTCTCTTCACTTGATTTATTGTTTATAGCAGCACAAAACTGATGCTGACTTGCGCAAGTGACAATTTTTGAATTTTTTTTGACGTTTTTAGTTTTTACCTTCACTTTTTTTATAAAAAAAAATGCTTTTCCTCGCCATATCCGTCTCGTTGGGACCAAAAAGATGTTCAGAGCTTTATGTATTTAAAAATTAAATTGTTCCTTCGACTTCTAAAACTGTAAATCCTCTGGCATGGCTGGAAGCATCAAAGAGAAAAAGCACTATAGATAGTTTATTTTTTACCTTTAATTCACCGAACAAATTATAACTCAGGAAAGTGGAATTCAAATACAGTACTTTTTATTTAATCAACTTAATTGATTTGCAGATAAAACATTTTTTACTGCATATAGAAAAAATCACCGATTATCTTTTTTTATGGCAGAATGACAATCAACATGACAATCACAGATATGACAATAATTGTCATCAGAGTAAAAAAGGTGGTAGAATTGTTCTTGAAAAGTGCCTCCTATAAATTAAGATCGCAGCGACTCATACCAAGTATGTTAAGGAACTATATTTAAAAATTCCCACCTTTCAATGAGAATAAAGGTGTTGGATTTTGTTTCCAACAATAATAAGTGGTTTTGTCTCGCCACACTGCTGTAAAATCAAGCAGTAACCAAGAAGGTTTCAAAATAATCTTGCTCTTTTGTAGTCCATCTCCAGCTAGTATTCTTTCTTGTTGAGTTACTGAGCAGAAGAGATATATCGGCCAAGTTCTCTATAAAACGGCGGTACCAACTTGCTGTTTGTAGGATAGACTGTACCTCATGGAGATTTTGAAGTGCTTGGCGTTCAGAAATGGCTGCCGTTTTGCCTGGATGAACGGAAATTCCTTGTGGTGTGATTACGGATCCGATATACTTCACTTTGTGCGCACGCGAACAAACACTTTTCTCGATTTGCCCGAAGCCTAAATTGTCCAAGTCTATCAAACACTAGTTTAAAATCCTCTAGTGTTCATCATATGAACTGGAAAGCGCAATAAGATCATCGAAATACGCTAGCACTTGGTCGTACCGCTTTCTCTGGTCAATCCTTTATGGGTTCCAGGAAGCTTAATGAAAATCTTGAACTTTTCCAATCATCATGCATATATTGTTTAAAATTAACAAGAAACTACCAATGTGCACTTCCTACCGCGTCGTACCGATCCACCTCCATGTGGCAATGCGTGATCAACCGGAACGAATCTCGAATCCAGGGGCGTTATCACTTCTTTGGGTTGCCCTATAGCTACTCAGACAAAAGTTTAGGAGGCAATGGGCGTGGGCTATCTTTATTTGATGTTGTTTTCTATTGGGCGCCAGGTCTATTATAGGCCAATTGAAATAAAACCAAAAATTTAAAACAATGTGAATATCTATTTATTTAAATAGAATTGATTCATTAATTAATTCAAAGCAATTTGCATTTAATTGCAAAATACACAATAATCAGGATTAGCAATGATGCACGATGGAAACCAAGGTCGACTTACAAGTTACTAACCTATTTTATTTCATAAAACGTAAAATACAAAGTTTAAATTCTTACACTCAATTAAGTTGATAATATGTAACAAGAACTAGCAAATTAGATTTTAAAGTGAAAACATGTCACCTAAATCTTTGGCTCTAATGCAAGTTAAATTTTTACATGCAATGAGGTTGTTATGTAAGACCTAAGAAAATATTCACTGACGTAACCTGAACATAACTTTGACAAATGACAGTCTTGGTTGTAGCGAAACCCTTTAGAATTAACAACAATGCACGATGGAGACCAATGTCGACTTACAAGTTGTTAACCTACTGAGCGAGTTTCCGGTCGGTACGGCAAGTTAAATTTTATGATTAGTGAACCTGATACACAAACAAAATAAACTTTCTAGAATCTCATCTAGAAAGTTTCAAAACTAGTGATATTCCTACGTACAATGAAGTTGCTATGTAGGACTGAAAATATTGAGCAAAACTTCAAAAAAAAAAAAAAAAAAATCCATCATGAGAAATTTTAAATTTTATTTTAATTTTGTGGCTCAAATCGCCTATGTATAGGTATCACTTCACTTCTCTTCGAGTTCTGGCAGCTGAAAGGGAACGACCTATTCCAATTTTTTCCTTAAATAATCTTTGGTTGTTAAAAAAAAAATTACATTTCCACGCGGAAAGCGAAAAAATCTAATAATTGAGGTTAATTTGTGAATGACTTTTGATGTACTGGTTTGTCGAAAAGAAATCCCTTTGTGGAACCAACAAAACCACTTTTGTGCTCGAAGATTGGTTCGGACACTAACTGACAAACGTAGTCCGAGCGCGCTCGATAACCCTACTCGGGCAAAATTCAGAACTGATTTGCATAATGGGAACGAGCATATTAAAATGCTTGTTACACCATAATCATACTTCGCTTGCCCTCCTACCATTGCGAATTAAATCCGATTGAACTAATATAGGCCCAGGTGCGTTAGAATGTTCAAGTTCGCTTTTGAAGCCCCTTGGAACAATTTTCAGGCTGGCCTGGAATCAATACCAGCGGCCAACGATTGATATTCTCACTAGTCCACTTCTTTGTAGCCAAACAAAAGCCGGCACCCTTTTGAATGCAGAATATGGGTAGAGATTTTTTTCCTAGCTGTCTGCTTGCTGTGGAACTAGTCTCAGATGTGTGAGAAGGTGACTGATTTTACTGGTTAGAATATCGGTGGACGTATAGACCAACACGCCAAAAATCGAAGGGGGATATTTATTAGATGAATCATTGCTTTTAACACGTTAACTGTACGCCGGCGGTTCAAGTTACGTGCAATTCCTCGTGTACCACTCTTTTTCGGCGTACAAATAAAAATGTGCACCATTGATTTGGCAATCAGAGCATGCCAATGAAAAAAAAATGGATAGACATTTTCGTATACATCGTATATTTCCTGCGGCGCTTCAGGTACATGCCAGTTGGCAGCCGGCTGTACAGGTCGTAAGTATGTAAAATACCAAACAGGGCTATCTGAACACTTAGCTGAAGCGTAATTCCGATTGACAAAGCAATGGCCATCGCAGCCTGAGAGATTGTGAAAGACCAGAGCAACTATGAACAATTTTTCTAAAATTTAAGTTGCAGTTCTGGTGGGCAAAGCCTTTGAAATGATCGTGGCCAATTACAATTTTATCATCATCAAAGTCCTTCCTCGTGAAGGGTTTCTCGCAAATGTGACATGCTTTTGCTTGTGCACGCTTAGGATGTGTGGAAAATGGGACTATATTTTTAATTTTTGATTGAATCATCTGCGTTATATTATCCATTTCATAAATGAACCAGCTCATACAATCTTTTTCACGATAACTTTTGAAAAATTACAATAAGTCATTATAGGTATATTTAACATAATATGCTGCACTCTAAAAGCTTTCTGATGTTTATATCGAATAGTTTTTATTTTAGTTTCTACATTTTCAATGAGATTTTCTCATGAAGACTAAAAATCAGCGTAAGTAATAAATGGTGGTATCACTGCCTATTGTGTACAGTCAATTTCTATATGTAGGAAAGTTTTTCGCTCTGCGTTTGAGCTTTGACTTCTAATTAAAAATTCCTAACGGGGTAACGATCCACTTCAATTAAAAAACTGTTCGCTTATTACAGAAATGTAGAAGATCCAATCTTCTTTGTGGCAAGCAGAGGGCATCACGCCGATATCGGTGGAATAACTCCAGGTTCGATGCCGCCGCATTCCACAAGTTTGTCAGAAGAAGGGGCGGCATTTAAATCTTTTTTGCTGATCGAAAAGGACAAATTCATGGAGGCCGACATAATTCGAGAAATTAAGGACGCGGGAGGGCGGAACATACCGGAGAATATATCCGACTTAAGAGCTCAGGTCGCTGCCAACAAAAAAGGGATCGATTTGGTAAGGTTTTATTAGATTCGTATTAGGAAAGTTGGTTTTTGTGAGAGAATTTCAATTGAACTTTTCTGTAATATTTGGATAAAACTTTAACCCGATTAGGGTTTAGGTACTGTGTTTTTGATGTTATAGATGACATTCACAATCATGTTTGTTGTTGTCCATTCAACAAGTTAGGATTTTTTGATATATTTTCCAACTGAACCTTCTAGAAACAAGCAGACATGTTCCATAGAGCGAACAAAATGAATAAGATTAAGTCATTATTGTCAATAATGAATTTTCATTAAAAGAGAAACAAAAATTCTCGAATCTAATCAAAAATTATTCTCGTATCTATTCATCCAGAAAATTGTGCTCTCAAACAAATTCATTTCGATTTTATGAAATTTAATACCCTATTAATGAAGCCATCCCGTCTAGTCGTTTCTGGTCAAACAAATTAAATCTATTTATTATTTTCAATTAGAAGCCGACCATATAATCAGTATACGACCGCAAAATAACTGCCAAATATTTTCCTGAGAATTTCATACATCTGTCAAAACTGGTATTCCAACAATAAATTGACATGTTTTGATTGTTGATTTGAACCAATCAGATTGTAATTACGCGATAATTTGCACTAGTGCAAATTATCAGATAATTGCATACTAACTGGGGGGGTTTATTTGAAACGTGCAATTCAAATACGTCTGACTAAGTCGCAATTTGTAAAGGTGAAATTCAAAAAAATGCACATGTGGCTTATTTGAAACTTTCGTCAACGTATTTTGCTAAATTCGTCGACGCAAGATTGCATTTGACATGCGTCACCCCTAGAGCTAGTGCATTTCCAAATTGCATGCGAAAGTTTCTCAAAAATTTCAGTTTAGTCGATAAAAAATATTCTTGGCCTCATGGAATTCGCAAATAATGTTAATTTAAAAGCTCTAGAAAGGGTCGAATTGTATAACAATAACCGCAAAGGCTTCAGAAATCCAAGAATAGATGCATGCATTAACAATGCTTAGGTAATGACGGGGAATTAAAAAAAAAAACTTTCGACTTTCAAAAGAATGTTTCGGGATTCCTTCCATGAAAAGGAGTTCGAAAATTTCCCCGACAAAAGGGCCGGATTTTTGTTCAAATATTCGACCGAGTGTTCTTTTTGTTTTTTGGTAACAAATCCGGACCTTCTCTTATTGGCACTTGCCCCCGCACTTTCCATCCTTTTTGCGGTATTGCCTACACTTATAGAAAGAATGAAGAATGAACTAAGATTATCAACAAAAAAAACGAAAAACCTCCAACTAAACACGAAACTTTATGCACGGAAATAATCAAAAACCCCTGGGGGGGTTTATTTGAAATCCGTGCAAATCTTTCACATGCGACGCAGTCGGTCGAAATATGCGCTTCGACGAATTCTAAAAATTCACGATCGGCTTATTTGAAATCTTGTGCATTTTGTAATTCGTGACTTTTTAAATTTGCACTACTCAACTTGGCAACGTGTCCTGTAAAAGATTCTAACCAATGACATTGTTAGAAAATTTCATATGACCAAACGGAACGATGCATTGAAATGTCAAATTTGAAATTGTTTACCGTCAACAACTTTTTTGATTATTTCCGTGCATAAAGTTTCGTGTTTAGTTGGAAGTTTTTCGTTTTTTTTGTTGATAATCTTAGTTCATTCTTCATTCTTTCTATAAGTGTAGGCAATACCGCAAAAAGGATGGAAAGTGCGGGGGCAAGTGCCAATAAGAGAAGGTCCGGATTTGTTACCAAAAAACAAAAAGGACACTCGGTCGAATATTTGAACAAAAATCCGGCCCTTTTGTCGGGGAAATTTTCGAACTCCTTTTCATGGAAGGAATCTCGAAACATTCTTTTAAAAGTCGAAAGTTTTTTTTTTTAATTCCCCGTCATTACCTAAGCATTGTTAATGCATGCATCTATTCTTGGATTTCTGAAGCCTTTGCGGTTATTGTTATACAATTCGACCCTTTCTAGAGCATTTAAATTAACATTATTTGCGAATTCCATGAGGCCAAGAATATTTTTTATCGACTAAACTGAAATTTTTAAGACACTTTCGCATGCAATTTGGAAATGCACTAGCTCTAGGGGTGACGCATGTCAAATGCAATCTTGCGTCGACGAATTTAGCAAAATACGTTGACGAAAGTTTCAAATAAGCCACATGTGCATTTTTTTGAATTTCACCTTTACAAATTGCGACTTAGTCAGACGTATTTGAATTGCACGTTTCAAATAAACCCCCCCTGGTGCGAAAACTGGTGTTTTGACATTTTTTGACAAAAAATTTAAATTTTTGATTTATGAAATTCTCTCATTAAATACAACTCGTGCAATGGAAATATATTTATAATTTTCGACAAATTTGCACTCATGCGTTTTAAAAATGCATTCGGGTAAATTTCCCAAAAATTATCAATAATTTCCATTGCACTAGTTATATTACTATTGAATATATCAGGCAATTAACCATAACGTACTTTCAACCATATGGAATTTTATTTTTATATTTATTACAATATCATACAAAATATTAATATCAAAAATAATTATGAGGTATTAATATTTATTGTTTTGTATCTATAGACATGGTATTTCAATTAAATCTAGTGTTAATATTTAATTTAAAGTTTTTACATGACATTTGTATGTTGTTTATTATTAATTATTGCATAGGTATGTATAATTATGAAATGTGCAATAAAAACAAACATCAATCAATCCGTCGAATTCTCTCAATAAGCCATCAAAAGTTATCAAGGCCTTCGTCAAAATGTAACAGTATTCGAGATAATTTTCCTTATCAAGAAGTCCTTACTATATGTACTAACTATACCTCTCTACCAGCCTAATCCTATTACATGTTAGTTATGGCCTTGAGCTGCGTAATCAAATAGATGGCTCTCTCTAGTGACCACTTGATGGAATAGCACACATCAAATTTTCCCATACTATATATAATCCGACTATAGGTATATCTTCTGTGTGTCCATGTCTACAATAATAATTGCATTAAGTTGGATGCTAATCTGGTTAAGTGATCGGGATGAGATTCTATATCAGATCGATGCGTAAGTTTGAAGCGGTCTTTGTTTACAGGGCAAAAGTTGCTTGGAGGCATGTTTCAATCCCATCTTATTTTAGTTTCAATATATTGAATAACTTTCAACTAGATATTAAAAAATGTATTCTCTGTAATGGCACCTCAAGACAGAAATTTAAACATTATTTTTTAATCAACTACTACAAGATACGAAATATTGATTACAGGAAAAAGACAAGTTGGAGCTACACTATATAAATGTGACATTGATTTGTTGATCCTTTAACCAGAAGCACGTCTCGTTGTGGTACATTACAGAACATTACACAAAATGTCTAAATATTATTATACTAAGTTTCGATATGGATATCTTCTAAAAGAAAAATCTGAAGCGGGATTTGTTCTAGAAGACATATTGATTTCCCATGCTTTTAACCAAGGACATAAGATTAAAGAGCTACTTATTATCAATGGTGAAGAATTTGATAATGGAGAAATTAAAACAAACTACGCAGAAATTGATCAATTCTCCATAAACTCTTATGCAAGATTTCTCAACACGGCTATTTATGTACTCCTTCAGTTAAAACACCTCAAAATTATTGGCTCAACATGTTCCGGTGCAAATCAGAACAAAAATGGACATGAAGGCAATCAAAGGATTCCTTCTTGGTTATGATGGGACAGAAAGATAAATAATCAAGAGTAGTTTTGTCTAAAGATGTCAGATTTTTAGAGAAGTTGACCGACTGTGAAGAGCGTTGGCAATTACCCCTACAAGACAACGTAAAGCCTATTCTTTCTCTTTACTTTTGTCCCATTTAAATTATTGTGATGTTTATTGGCCTGCCTTACTGCAGAGGGATAGAGACAGCTTGCAGAAATTTCAAAACGCTTGCCTTAGGTTTAGTTTCAACGTTCGTAAATTTGATCATATAACACTTTCTTTGAACGACTCAAAGTGGCTTAAACTTGAAGAAAGGTTTCAGCTTCATCTTTTACGTCTTGTTCATAGAATAAGACACAATGATCTTCCTAAATACCTTCTTGACAAACTGATAAAGAATTCAGACATACATAATCGTATGACAAGACACAAAGATTTATACAGTGTCTCCAAATACAACAACGCTTTTTTTTACAAGATGTTTCAGCTACACAGCAGCTTCAGCTTTCAACTCTCTTCCTGATGACGTCAAAATGGTCCAAAGTTTAGAAGTATTCACTAACAAACTAAAACTAAATATACCATCCAACCGCCCGCACTTAGTATCGCATTAAAGTGAAATATTATGTGTATTATTACTGAGTTGTTTACTAGGTTTTATTTGTTCATTACTTTCTGATAAAATTATTGTATTTTAATATTGAATAGATTTTTTTTGGGGTTGGCCCTACTTACGGTCCCGCGGCTCCGACTTACACGGGTGCAAGTAGGCCTGGTGTTCTGTCTACCGTTCTACTCCCCACCAACCGCAAGGTTAGTAGAAACGGTGTTCCACAACGTGTGCTCTAAGTAAACGCAATGATCCCAGGATGACTGCTTTCTGCATCGTGCCAACAAGGTGTTCAGCTTTATCTCGGCAGACTGGCAAGGTCTTGAGAGCTGAGAGTAGTGTTTGTTGTGCACCTCCGAGAGCCCCAATCACCAAAACCACTAGCTTGACGGTATAGCCCCGGTACATTCGGAGAATGTCAAAGAGAAGATCCTGATATTTCGTCCGTTTCTCTTCCTCCTTGGCAATGATGTTCGTCTCGGCAGGAACCGAGAACTCAATGGCATATATAATTTTATCATTTTTGTCAAGGAGTACTATATCCGGCCTGTTAGCGTTTACAAGCCGGAGGGTGGGGAATGCGAAATTCCAATATATTCTGGCTCTGTCAGTCTCCAACATCAGAGGGAACACATGGCAGCACTGGAGTGTCATCAACA